TGCCGCGAAAGCCTCAGGGCCGACGAGCTGGGCACGAGCGCACTGGTATTCCAGAAGGAGGCCAAGGTAACGGGTGGGGTACTCGTGGCTGCCCTGAATACGAGTGAGGTTGCGGTTGGTGCGCTGTCTGTCGGGGCCCGCTCTGTGCCAGATATCCTCGCACATGTCGAACGCGGTGCGGTGGCGCAGGGCGTCGTTTTTCTCCGCGGAGTCCTCCTGGAAAAAGTGGTCGTACTGTGGCAGATGGAGCGTCGCCAGGACGTGCGGGACGCAGTCCTCGAGCCATGCCCAGTACACGTCCTGATGGTCCTCACCTGGTGCCCACGCCGCGGCGCACGGTATGAGCCGTGCTCGGATGTTCATCAGGTGCCAGAAAGCGGGGTCCTCCTCGGGTTCACCCCTGGCGCACAGAGGGGTAGTGGGACTCGTGGGGCTGAAGCGGGGCACGACAGCGGGGCTGAAGCCGCCACTGCGTGCCTGGGCCTTGCCAGCGGCCCTGTCGAGGATATGCTGCACGACGGTCGAGGACAAGCTGAGGACAGGGTACCATCGAGGATATGCTGTACGACAGTCGACCGCAAGCGTCATGTTGAGTGATGGTAACCCTCGTAGCTGAACTTGCATGCGGTGCGAGGCGTGGCCGGAGGACGCAGGAGTCATCTCAGCTGCGGCAACATCGGTGGTCGACTGCGATGCATGTGTCGTAGTTGACGATGGCGTGCTCGTGGGAGACATGCTGGTACTCGTCGTAGACGTCGTAGTAGCCGTCGAAGTCCCAGGGGGGCAGCGCGTGGGGCGGGGCCCCTGGTGCTGCTCAGGCCAGGCGCTCGCGGGGGCGCCCAGCGGCCCGGTGCCGCACGGACCAGCGGCGGCGGTGCTGTTCACGATCGGGTCCAAAATGGCGCTGTGATCGTATTTGTAGATGCTGTCATCGTAAAGGTAGAAGAGCGTCCCACGCTCCGCATGTCGCAGGAAAGCCTCTCCTCCGTGCTGGGGCGCACCGCCTGAAGACGGGTGTGCTCCAGCCAGCGAGGGGGGGGCCAGGCCGCAGGCAAGGCGCCACATGATGGCGAGGCCTGGCGGGCGGCGCGAGCGATGAGCCGAAAGCTGCGTGGCAGCACACGTCCTCAAATACCCCTGAATGCTCATGTACATTGCTACAATCACGCCCCCTGCAAGACTACGGGTGTCCCTACACCAGATAGCTTGCGCGTGCTGCTGCCAAAACAGACATGAGGTGACAAGAAAGAGATACGACGCGAAGAGGGGAGCGATGCCTCTGAAGGCGCTTCCTCGGAGGGCTGAGGCGGGCTCTCTGAGGCACCTTCAATAGGGTTCCTGGGTGGCCCGACCCTTGTCCTTGCCTTTGTCGGCCCCTGGGGGCCCCGTCCCTGGGGTGGCCTGGCCTGGCTGGTCGGTCAAACTGCAGGCTGCCGCGGGCTCGGCGGCCGCTGCGGCTTCCTCCTTCTTAGTTTCCAGAGTGGCCGCTTGTGGCAGGTGGATGGTGCCTCCCGTGAGGTGCCCGAGGAGGGTCTGGATGTCGCCGCGCAGTGCAGCGGCGTCGGCGGTTGCCGTCTGTTGCTGGGTGACGACGGTGGCAAGCCCCCGTTCCAGCCCTGAAACGTGCTCCGTGAGTGTGGCCTGGGAGGAGAGAACGCCCGCAAGCTGCACCTGCATGTTATCCACCGTGTTGGCTAGCAGCTCGTGCTGCTGTTCCATGTGCTGGATGCGGGTCGTGGCAGCATCGGGCGGTTTAGAGGCCGATGCGAAGCGCTCGCCGAAGGTGTTGAGTTCGTGGGAGGCCACGCTGTATTCATCACCTGATGAGAGGATCTCGACGTCGACGACGTCGCCTGGTACTTCGGCGGCTGTGGCAGCGTCGCCTTCGGTGTGGCCCCCACCTTCTGCCGCCGCCGTGCCAAGCCAGGGGTCGTGGCCACCTGGTCCTGGGGCGGCCGTCGGTTCAGCGGCTCCGTCCGTGCCGTGCGGGGGCGCAGAGGAGCTGCGGCCTGGGGCGCAGGGTGGCCTTGCGTGCGGCGTGGCGTCACGTTTCCCGCTGGAGGAGCGGTGGCGCTTGGCTGAAGGCTCCTCCTTGGGGGTCAGGAGCGGTGCGACGCCCTTGCCTTTGGGCGTGGCAGTCATGAGGTCGTGGAGGTAGGGGCTCTGGGCCGCTTTGGTGAGGAGTGTGCCGGTGGCGGGGCTAAAGCCGCCACCACCGGCTGGCGGCGTCACAGGCTCTGTGATGGTGGTAGGCGTGACGATGGTAACGTTGTCCCGCTTCGGCGCCACCTCAGCCAGCGGGGCCTCGGTGATGCTCCACGGGATGGGGCACCCCGCGACCTGCACCGTATAGGTGAGTGGGGGCCGATGGGCGCGCACTAGGGCAAACTGGGCCGCAGTGGCTGGGTCCCAGGCGGTGTGGTAGACCTCACAGTCCCATTTAACGGACGGGCCCGTGAGAGTCTTGGCGAGCTGGGTCAGCGTGGCGCGGCGTGCCGCAATGCCAGTGATGCGGTAACGCGTCTTGGCGAGGGTAGCCTCGCAGCCGCGGATGCTGACAGCAGCGGCCTTGGCGACGCTGACTGGTCCACCACGGGCTGCCCATCACATTAAGGTGTCTTGTTGTGGTGGGTAGTTCTGCTGCCACTCAACCAGGACAACTAGCTAGAGCAAGTTGTCCCGTTGTGTCTTTGCTATGCTACGCTAAGCGATGCTGTGCGGTGCTGTGCAATCCAATATATGCAATTTTATGATATGATATGCAATGCTGTGCTATGATATGCTGTGCGATCATGTGCAATAGTGTGCTGCACCATGCCATGTTATGCTATGCGATGCGACCCGATAATGTGCGATACTATGCCACGGTATGCTATGCGAAGCTATGCTGTTATATGCAATGCCTCGCAATCCTGTACTCTGTTTTGATATGCTGTGCGATGCTCTGCTATGATGTATCACGCCATGGTACGACATGAAATGCCCTTTTGTGCTGTGTTGTGCTATTTGATCCCACACGATGATATGTTATGCAATGCAATGGTATGCTATGTTATGTTTTGTCATGCTACGCGATGCTAAACGATGCGATGCTACGCGATGGTGCGATATAGTTCCAGTCTGTCCCTCCCGCAACCTCCCTATCACCCGAAGTGTGGTCGTGTAGGTAGGCCGCTCCCCGGAAATTCAAACCGCCCTTATCCCCCGTTTCACGCGTTTTTCTGGCTTGAATTTCGCGCGAGTAGCCGTTTGGCTCAAAAAGGGCGGCTCAACACACTTGGGGAAAGCAGTGTCAGGGGGATCTACTGCACGGGATGGTGTTGCTTGCGCCGCCGCTTCGTTTCGGGCCCCAGCCCTTGGCGGGAAAGAGGGTGAAACCCGTGCGCGCTGAGGGGGGGCAGAAACCGACTGCCGCGAGGGCGACTCGGAGGAAGGCCGAGGCACAGAAGACATCGCATTCGATCATGCCAAGCTACAGGAGGCACACATTTCAAAGTGTTGGGCGCTCCTCGCTGCGAAAGCTGAGTCCATTGAGGAAGTCGTCGCAGCCTCTGGCGCGGAGGCCACGGTCATGCGCGGCGGTCAAAGCGGCGAAGAGGTCACAAGCTCCGGCTCTGATTTCCCCGCCGTTGGCACGGAAGGTTCCCAAAAGTGGAAAGGGTTCGCAGACTCTGTCGCGAAAGCGCCCCATTTCGGATGACATGCTCCAGGTGTTTGACGGGTCCCTTTCCGAGGCGCAGCATCTGGAACGCCATGCGGCTTGCAAGGGTTTCTGCATTCGGTGCGATTTGCAGAAGCGCCCCAAGGTTTACGAGGCGTGTGCCCTCTACGAGGGCCGTTCTTGGTTGTCGCGAGGCGTTAACCGTGGCATATGGGGCCTCGGGTGCAGGATATGCGCTGAGTTTGCGGCTTCTGGCAACAAGTGTGACGGCGCCAGGTTTTCAAAGTTTGCCAAGTTCCAGATTCGCCCGAAGACGGGTTTTCACGCCAGGATGCTTTTAGAACGACATAGCACTTCCGATTCGCACCGCGTGGCCTGTGGGATAAAAAAGAGAAAGGGTTCCGACATGTTTGCTCAGCCGACTGTACCACAGCCTCTGGCGTGCCCGACCGTTTGGCCAACTGAGAAGCCATGCGAGCTTCTGGCGACCGAGTCTGATACTGGCTTGATAAAGGGAAACGCACCGTCCCCATCGGAGTGGAAAGACGCGTGGGCGGTGCTATCAGAAGGAGTCTCTCACCGGAAGGACGCTCGCATCTGCGATAAGAAAGGGCACGCGCCTGGCTCGGTGGCGAACAGAAGACGGAAACGCCATCGCCGACAACTCCAAGTGATGGCGGAGGTCTTGAGGAAGAATATCCGCAAAGTGCTGCACCAGGCGACTTCCATATCTTTGGCTATCGATGAGTCGAAGTATCGGAAAATCGTCCGGTTTCGCGCCGACCTTCCTGCTGTACAACATAGCGGTCAGGGCTTCCACTTGGGCAACGTTGGTGCGTCAGGATATTGCCTCTCGGGCGTGTTAGGCCTTCTCGACTGCTCGAAGAAACACGCGTCCGACTTCGAGGAGGACCACGCTGTCACTGCGGTTAAGCAGCTTGATGCATTTCTGACAAAATTTTGCACGCCGCTCGGCAGAATTAAGGGCCGCAGGGGGGCGCAGCCTCTGGCGTGCGATGAGGAACTGAAAGCACACGTGCTGCGAACAGTCACAAGTTTCTCTGCTGATGGCGCGTCCAAGGAGCGGCGTTCAGTCTTCCTCGCTGCTCGCGAATGTTCCCCAACTTGTTAATCGTGATTCGCGATCCAGCACGCGCCATACGCATTGCCGTCAAGTCGATGCATTGCGACGACGTGTTTGGGGAGGTCTGGAGGGAGCTGTTCAATGATCGGCATGCGTTGGTTCCTGACCTAATGCACTCTAACAAGCTGCACAACCTTCTGGTGGCAATCCAGGAGGACAACGTGCACGCAGTGGCAGTGCCTGGGTTGCCTGGAGGACCCCAGCCCCTGGCGGGAATCGTGCGGAATTTGGCGTTCGCCAAGCAACGCTTCGACTCGACGGCGGACCCAGTGTTGAAAATCGCCCTCTTGCTCGTGCCGGTGGCAACTTTGCTAGCGTACATCGCGTCGGACCGTCGCCACGACCGGGAGCAGCGCCATCGGGCGGGCGCCTTGTTGCGGAAATTCGATACTAAGTTCTGTATGGCCGTTGGTGTGGCCGCGGACTGGGGGATCATATGCAATTGGTTCTTGCGACTCTTCGACGTCGCCAGCCACGACATTGCAAAGTCGCGTTCCGAGATCGATTGCATGGTCGAGACGCTGGATGCTGTCTTCATGGAAGGGCGGGTCTTCCAGTCGGCCCTCCAGGTACCTCCCGTCGCAGCCGCAGCCTCCGACCGCCCCGGCTTCCGAGGAGCCGCTACCGCGGCTCCGTGTCCGAGCGGAAGGACACGAGGCTGGCTTCATCACAGAGACGGTCATGCGCGATCTTCGCCGCAGGTATGTGTTCTACGCAGACGGAGACCCCGTGATGCCATGGGGGGAACCAGCAGCAGCGCACAAGGAGGAGCTCCTCCACCGATTGCAGAACGTGGCGAGCTTGACAAAAGAGCGCTTGCTCGCGGACTTCCCGCGGACTGACGTCCGCTCGGCGCTGGCCATGTTTGACCGGCGTCTCGTGCAGAAAGGCTTCGGCCCAGTGCCCGATGTGGAAGTGCGGCGTTTCCTTCTGCGGGGCGTTCGCCAGCTGGCGGGCCTCCTCGGCTGCGACGAGCAGGCGGCGGTATTGCAGTACAACGGCGTGCTTCCCTACATGATGCAACAGATGGGGCCATCCCAGCCACTGGCGGGGGCAACTAACCAGCAAGCGTGGGCTCGCATTCTCGACGATGTCTTTTGGGAGGCGGCTTGCCCGAACCGGCTCCGTGGGGCCTCTCGCATGCTCTGCCGCCTCGTGCGTTTCTACATTTCGATTGAAGACGGGGAGTGCACCGTCGAGCGCGACTTAGCCCGATATCGGGATCAACGGGTAGAGCACCGCACTGATGATATTGCTTTTCACGACGACTGCTTGATCCTGAAGTTGAACGGGCCGAAGACGGCGTCAGAATTCGACGAAGGCGCGGCTCGCCCTGGACTAGGCTTGACGTCCTTCTCCAGGGAATGCGCCAGCCTCTGGCGGGAACTGCTCGGCCAACGGCGTGGGCATTACAACCCTCAAGCTACTGCGGCGGCCGCGTTAAAAAGGAAGAGCGCGCCCGGGCTGGTTCGCGGACGTTCTCGGGCCGTCCTTGGGGCCGCCCGCCTGGCCGTGACTGTTGCCCGCATTCGACGGGCGCGGGGCCCGTCGACCGCGGTGCATTCCGGCGCCGGCACTGAGGGGAGCGCTTTGTGGAGCGACGACATGGGTAAGTTCCAAGCGCGCAGCCGCAACAATATACCAGGCGTCCAGCAGACGCGGGCGCGTCCAGGGGCGCCTTTCGTGAACCCGCCCGGCGTCAACCTGGCCCCGAGACTAGGTTCGACGACGCAGCCTCTGGCGCGGCCCTCGCCGTACAGCAAGGTAGCAAGCCTCGGCGGTGCGACCGACATGTGCCCTGCGAGAGGTTGCGCTACTGCCACTGGCAGACACCGTTGCGCAGAAGCAGACCTCGTCGTCGTTCCAGACTTGGCGTTTCTCCACGACGTGGACGCGCTGGCAGCAAGTGTGGATCTGGCCGTCTCTTTCTTTTACATCGCCTCGCTTGGCCTGGACGTCGTTACGCAGACGCTCCTGGTCGCAGCCCAGGGCCACCCAGACAGAATTCCACTCGACCATCGCACGCGCCACGTCCCAGCAAACGAGCGCCAGGAGGTTATTCATCTCGGGCCAGGCCTCGTCACGGTGCATCCAGATGTGCGGGCGGCGGTGCGGCGCGTGGCCCGCAGAGCGGGGTCGAACCTCGCAGTGTCGGAAGCGGCACCCCCAGCCTCTGGCGGGACGCTTTTCTCGACTCTGCGCGACGTCGTCGCATGGGCGTCTGCAGCGAGGCAGGTGAGGGATTATATAGGGCCAAGCAGTGACTGTGGACGGAATTCCAATGCGCGCCTGAGGATCTTACCCGAACAAAAAAGGAGACCCCGCCCGCAAGCAGGCAAGATCGCCCAGACGTAGGCCGCACCTCGCCAAACAGTGAACCAGACCACCCAGAAGTAGATCAGACACCGCCCATATTATAATCAGACCGCCCAGAAAGTAGACTTCCCTCCCCCCCCAGAAAAAAGTAAGCCGGAACGCCCGCAAGTAGACCAGACCCCGTCAAAGAGGTAACCAGACCACCCAAAAGTGAGGCAGGCCACCCAGGTAGCAGGCCAGACCCAGCCACGAAGTAAAGCAGACCCCGCCAAAAAAGTCATCCAGACCGCCCAAAAGTAGACCACCTCCGACCCAGAGTAGACCAGACCCCGCCCACAAGTAGACCAGACCACCCAAAAGTAGACCAGACCCCGTCCACAAGTAGAGCAGGCACCACCCAAAATTATACCAGGCCGCGCAAGCACACCCGAGCCCGGACAACAGTAGACCAGACCCCGTCAAAAAGTACACCAGACCCCGCAAAAGTAGACCAGGCCCAGCCCGCAAGTAGACCAGACCCGCCCAACAACTAGACCAGACCGCCCCAAAGTAGACCAGACCCCGCCCAAAAGTAGACCAGACCACCCAGAAAGTAGTCAAGACCCCGTCCAAAATATACCAGACAACCCCAAAGTAGACCAGACCCCGCCAACAAGTAACCCAGACCACCTAAAGGTAGACCAGACCGCGACCCAGAGCACGCCAGACCAGCCGCAAGTAGACCAGACCCCAGACAAAAATAGACCAGACCGCGTCAAAAAGTAGACCAGACCCCGCCCAACAGTAGACCAGACCCCCCAAAAAAGAAATAACACATATATATATATATCCAGACTGCCCCAAAGTAGACCAGAGCCCGCCAACAGGTCATCCATACCACCCAAAAGTAGACCAGACCCCAACCCAGAGTAGACCAGACCAACGGCAACTAGACCAGACCCAAGACAAAAGTAGACCAGACCCCGACCAGAAGTAGATCAGACCCCGCCCAAAAGTAGATCAGACCACCCACACGTAGACCAGACCCCGTCCAAAAGTAGACCAGACCCGCCCAACAGTAGATCAGACCACCCGCAAGGAGACCAGACCCCGCCCAAAAGTAGACCAGACCCGCCCAAAAGTAGATCAGACCACCCGCGAGGAGACCAGACCCCGCCCAAAAGTAGATCAGACCCCGCCCAAAAGTAGATCAGACCACCCATAAGGAGACCAGACCCCGCCCATAAGTAAACAATACCCGCCCAACAGTAGACCTGACCAACCACGAGTAAACCAGACCCCGCCCAAAAGTAGACCAGACCCCGCCCAAAAGTAGATCAGACCACCCACAAGCAGTCCAGGCCCCGCCAAAAGTAGTCCAGACCCCGCCCAAAAGAAGATCAGACCACCCACAAGGAGACCAGACCCTGCCCACAAGTAGATCAGACCCCGCCCGCAAGTAGATCAGACAACCCATAAGCAGACCAGGCCCCGTCCAACAGTAGACCAGACCCGCCCAAAAGTAACCGGATCACCCACAAGGACACCAGACCCCGCCCCAAAGTACATCAGACCCCGTCCAAAAGTAGATCAGACCACCCACAAGGAGACGAGACCCCGTCCAAACGTAGAGCAGACCACGCCCGAAATAATGAATAAGATATCCACCCAGCGCAGCTGATCGGTTCAAGGACCAAGTGCTGGCAACGAGGCGCGCGCCCGACTCTTCTTGCGTCTCTTCGTGTGCTCGCGCCGCCCATGGCGCCTCATCAGGAAGCTCTTCCCGCGCCGAAGAGGCCGCGCACGGCGCAGCAGCCTGCAGCGCCGCCTGCACCGGCGCCTGCGGCGCCGTCTGCAGCGGCGCCCTCACCGCCTGCGCCATTGGCCGTCGAGGAGCTGCTCGAGATGGATTCGGTGCAGAGCGGGGCATCTGATCAATTGGGCCAAGGGGGCCAAGGAGTACGTCGACAATGCTCTCCTGAAGTTCCTGTCTGAGAAGCAAGCACTGGTGGCCTTCAAAGTGCCCGCCTCCGTCATGCTCATCCCTCCTCTGAAAATTTCTTCCGCAGCCTCTGGCGCGCACCTGACATCGTTTCGGGAGGTCATGCAGTACGACAACTTGCAGTTGAGCTTCTCTACGACGGGGCAGTACGAGGCTGCAGGGACGGTGTGGATGCTTGACCCGCTCGCCGCCGACACGTCCGACATCGTCTCTATCAGCCAGCTCGATGCCGCCATGGCGAACTGGACTGAGGAGAGGCTCTTGCTGTCTTCCGACCACCCGCCGTCGCGGCGCTACTCGTTCGACGTGCCGCTCCCAGCGCGAGTTGTCAACACCAAGGTTGCCCAGCGCATGACCGAGGGCGAATCCACTGTTCTCATGGCAACGGGAGTGCCCATGCTGGCGGGGCACCCGCTTGTGATGGCGTGGTATGGCGCCATGGCAGAGGCATTGTCCGCCGGCAACAGTGATCGCACATTCAAGCTGTTTGAGGCAGCTTTGTCTGTGCCGATCAGGCTGCGTCTCAGCCCCGACCCTGACGCCTGCCTGCTAGCGTCGCTGCTGTTCTCTGAGACCGTATTCTCTACTTCCGCAGCCTCTGGCGCGGATGCCTTTTGGAAGCTGGCTGACAAGGTGAGTCGCCTGACAAAGTACCAGAAGGCTGTGGCCGAGAACATATCTCTTCCGAAATTGACCAAAGTCCTCACGACCTACGGGATCACGTTCAAGGGCAACGCGCTCACCGAGGCACACGCCAAGGCTTTGAAAAGCTTGACGCCTTTCGTCGGGAATCACGCTTGCGCCGTGGCTTACTCTTTGGCGGAGGCTTTCTGCCCCGAGCTCCGCGAACCCACGCTGTTGATGCGGCTGGCGCAGCTCTGCAAAGCAAGGACGGCGCCCTCCCAGGCAGACAAGGGCGCGGCTGCCTGCGACTCGATGGCGTTCGTCCTGGACTGCTTGCGCGTTGCCCGGCTGACAGGCGACGCCCCCAGGGGGGGGGGGCTTTCTGTGGGGCGGGTCACGGGGCAAGAGAAAAAGACCCCCGCGCTGACGCACGTGCTGTTCAAGAAACATGATGTCATCGAGTACATTATGCACGAGGCGGCGATGATCGACAAAGACATGGTGCCTGCAGTATCCATGTTTCGCTCGCCGCTTGCCATCGTGAAGCACTTCTCAGCCTCTGGCGAGAAAGGCTTAGCTGCTGCATTTCGGCGAGAGGAGAGCTCCGATAACACAGGGTTGGAAAACATGTTCGCTGTCCCCGTGGCCGAATACCGCGACCAGCAAGGCCGAGAAGCGAAGACGCAGGCGTTGATCGACTTCGCGTGGGCCGTTTGGGCTGGCCACTTCGACGAGGAGCTCCAGGAGCTGGCCGCCAAAGACCTGCAGGGAGGTGCAGCCGCCTTCCTGTGGCACCGGTATTTCACCGATAGCACCAAGGAGATGGGCGTCAAGTGCCGCGCGCTGACCGCTGCTTGCGCGGCGGGTCTCATTTCGACTGGCACTGCCGAGGGCGGGGCCTCTGGCGTGGTCATGGGGGCGTCCGAGCTCGCGGAGGCCGACCAGGAGGACCTCAAGAAAACCAAGGACTTGCTCCTCTCTCTTCGCAGGAAGTCCGTTTCGTTCGTGGCGCTGCCGTCGGTTGGCGGAGCCACTGGCGCGGAACGCAGCACCGCCCAGTTGCAGAAACTCTGGGAAGAGATGCGTCTCGGACATAGGTACGCCAGGAAAAAGCAAGACGTCCGAGCATTCGTTGTGTCGGCCGACCTGTTCGCCCCAAACGTGAGCAAGAGCGGGGCGGCGGCGAGCTTGGGCGACCGCGTCGCTGTGGATGCGGAGCGTTTCGGGCGGGTGCTTGATTTCGTCTCGCAGAAGCGTTCGGTTCACGATATCGTCATTTTCCTCGACGGGCGGAGCCGGTCGTGCCGCAAACTGCTCGAGGACAAAGAGGAGGGTCTCGCAGCCTCTGGCGCGCACGCTGTGACTGAGTGTTGGTGTGTGTATGTGCAGCCGGGCAAGGCGCAGGACCCCAGAGTCCCGGGAAGAGTGACTTGTTTTGCGTGCAACAACAAGGAAGTCGTCATCTGCTCCATCCCGAAAAGAGGCGCCATGAAGGTAGTGCAGCGCGCGGAGTTCAACTTGTGCGGCGAGACCACGAGTTCGTACACGACGTACACGGGCGTGCCTATGCGGCAGTACCGCGAGCTGCCGCGGATGACCCGCGACACGAAGGCCTCGATCTTGGGAAACGCAGCCGCTGGCCCGGTGAGAGGGAGGCGCGCGCAGAAAGACATCGAGGCGAACGGGCACCCCTTCTCGCACTTGGAGGTCAAGCCATTGAGCTTTTGGCAGCGGATTTGCGAGCACCATCACATCACGCACATCGTTGACTTCACGGCGGGGTCTGGCGCGTTGGCAATCGCAGCCTCTGGCGCGATGGAGTACGAGGGCGTGGCGGTCAACGAGGTGCACCGGGAGTGGCTCGACGCGACCTTGGACCGATGCGCACTGCACATGGCGGGGCATGACAATAATTTCGCCCAGAAGCTCGGCGGCGACGACGGTTTCGCTGAGAAAGTAGAGAAGTACTTCGCGGGAACGATGATGGAGGTGCGGCGCTTGCTCGAGCCAATCGCGGACGAGGTGGGCGGGGATGGGGGGAGCTCGGACTCAGCGGAGGAGTAGATCGCAGGCGCGCGATCGCGGGTGGGAAAACGACGCAGCCTCTGGCGCGCCACTGACGCGGCCTGGCCCTGACTCAGGTGTCGAAATTTTGCGCGCGTCGCGACTCCAGTGCGTGAGCAGTTCCGGGGTGGCGCCTCTGGCGCGCGAGGAAGCGTGCAAGACCTTCCAGCGCGGCCAAGTTTTGATGGGTAGACCAGTCTCTTGCCCGGAGGTGCAGCTTCATACGCGCCCTTGGACGCGCGCGGCGCTG